GTGAGCTAGGCTCAGTGGAGGTGGGGAGTGCTTAGTCTTTTGAGGATATCAGATATAAAGAAGTAATGCTTATGTGAGATAATAAACACAGGAGATCAATAATAATAATCTTTGGGAACACAGGGAAGGGAAGAGACTGGTTTTGTTTGCAGTGGGGAGGACCAAGGAAGACATAAGGAAGAAATTGAGTGGGGAATCAGAGATGGAGGTGAAAGGAAGGCTAGGAAGGAGAGGAAGAGATGTAGTAGGGGAAGGGGAGAGGGTGAGAGGAGGCATTCCATGCAGAGAGAATATCATCAAGTGCAAGACATTGGGAAGCAAAAAAGGTTCTAGTGTATTAAGGGAGGAGAGAGAGTTAGAATCTTTGGGGACCTAGAGGAAAGTGAACACAATGAAAGGAGAATGCAATTTGAAAAGTTGAGGGTTAATTGAGAAGGGTATTATATGCAAAGCAAAACAGAAATGTTTAAGGCAAGTTGACAGGCCTGTGATTCTGTAGCAGTTGTTTACCGGATAGACTTGAATGGGGAGAGACTCACGGCATCTCCTGAAGTTCCTTCATCCTAGAATGCCTTCCTCTCCTCCATTCTTTCCCATCCCCACCTCCAGAGAGACCATCCATCAAGGTTCATCTCAAATGCTGCTGCTACTAGTGAAGCCTTTCTGACCTCCCTCCCTCCTTTCTAGAAGTAGGATAATTTCTCTCCATTTGGAACTCCCCTAGAAACTTTTTGCTTCTCTTTCCATGTATATTAGAATTTGTCTATGGCTTATTTTCTTCAATAGAATCTGAGCAACTTAAGAACATGGATCTGGTCTCATTCACCTGTCTTCCACTGCACTGCCTGGTACACTGCCATGACCACAGGTGGTCCTAGTCAAGTTGTTGAATTGATTTAAACTGGTATCTCAGAGATCAGCACTACTCAAACCCCAAAGGCTATGTTGGTCCCAGGTCCATAGGCAGACACATGATTTACTTTCTTGCCGTGCTTTATTTTGCCTGTTGGAAAAGGCCAAGGACAGTCCCCCAGCACAAATGCTGGTATAGGTCATCTAGACTCTGAGACCTGAGGGTTAAAGGCTTCTGGGGAAGAGCATATAGCAGCCTACAGGGACAAGATCTATGACCTCTCCTTAGGCCCAACTGAGAGGAAGGACAGGTAGGAGAGGGTGCTTTTCTGGTTTAACTGAGCTTTTCCTTGCTCCAAAGTATGCTGTCTCCATGCTAATGTTATTTCAATGCCATTACATAGCTTGATTTACCATGATCAGCAAAGCAGTTTTTAGTATATTATTCAAAAAGTACCAATCAATTTTAGCTAACACTAAATATCTAAATAGATTTTTTAAACACCACAATATTTATTGTCCTGAAACTCTGATCAGTGGGGCAAACCTAAAGCAAGCCCAGAGCTGTTTGTATTGTAGTAACAAATATATATATATAATCCCTCTCCCAAATCATTTTTATAAGCAGCCAAGGTACAAATAAATAAAAACATGGGAAAATATATACCTTTAGGTTGTCTCATTTAGAGCTGACATTTGAAAAGTCATAGGAAAGGACTAAAGGATTGTCTGCTCAAGGTTTAGCTTTCAATTCTATAGAACAAAAGCCCAAATAATTGATAATCATTAAATTAATATCTGTAATACTCAGTTTTCCCTTTTGAAAAAAATGGGAACCCAGTAGAGCCAGCCTTAAAGGTGATTATAAGTACAAATGAGATAATTTCTGCAAGTGTATTCAGCCTAGCATCTAGGAGTATTAATTCCCTTCCTCTCCCCTTCCCAACTCATCAAGCTCCCAATACCCATCGCCACCTCTCCTTTATCTCTTGCCAAAATGTATTTCCTCTGTTCTTAACCCTTTAAGATGCCCTTTACTTCAGAATCATAAATCCTGGGTGTTTTGTCAGATTTTTCTATTAGAAGAAATTTATGGTCTTAGGTAAATAACACCCCCAAGTACAGTTACAACGGCAATAATATATCCCCTGTCATAGTGTTCTTGTCCTATCTGACAAGATACTTAACTCTTGATACTTAAGTCTATTACTTCTACATATTTTTACGGTACAGTAGTTTTTACTAATAATAATTAATACTTGTATGAAGCAGCTGTTCTTTATTTAATTACCTGAAAGGTGGTAGAAGTATAGATCAGTAACATATAGAAACTTGTATTTCTACAGCATTGTTTTGGTGAGCAGTTGAAAGTGGTAAGAATTACAGAGAAATCATTTTGTGTTTTAAGAAAAATATACTTGGTCTCTTGGTCAGAAGACTTGGATTCTTTTCATAGATGTGCCATTATGTTATTTTATGACCTTATTTAATTTTTGTTTCTCTGTGCCAAAGTCTTCCTAGTGATAAAAAATGGACTTCCTTGAAGATGACTGGTTAGCCAGAGACGGGTAAGATTCCTCAAGGGAGGAACAACCTAAGACAGGCACAGTCGCAGGGGGGCCATCAGGTGAGAATTTGGGGATCAACAGTGGTGAGGCTTAGAACCTCACCCCCCCTTGTTTTGAGAGAAATCTTCTGCATCTGTGGATGTTTTAAGGCCCTTGTCTAGCTTGGATTAACACATAGTCTACAGGCACACACCTGATCATCTACAATTGCTCTCTTACAACACTAAACTATGTTTTCTACCTTTATCTTGCATCTACCTTTAAAAATAATAATAATAATAATAATAAAGGGAGAAATGTGGGATCCACATATAAATCAAGTATAAAAATCAAACGAATATTCATATTTGACCTGATTGTTTATAATTCATAATGCATGATCAAAACCGAAAGTTTCTGTGATGACTGCCCTTGTACTGTTCACCATGTAAGAACTTATTCACTATGTAAGAATTCATTCACCATGTAAGAACTTGTTCGTTATGCTTCAGAAAATTGGAGACTGATGAGAATTAGGCTTGAGATGGATTAACGATTGTGCACAGAATTTTATTGTTGTTAACAACCATTTGATCAATAAATATGAGAGATGCCCTCTTAAAAAAAAATCAAATAAATAATTTAAAAAATGGACCTCCTTGTAGTTAGCCTTAGGCATAAGGGGCAAGAAGAAACTAAATTATTGGTATCTGCAAATAATTTGCCCCTTATCAAGTCCCTGCCAAGATGGAATTAGTGGAGGGGTTAAAGAGGGGCAAAATGATACCTCTATTCTATTGAGTTCCCTATACAAAGAAAGATGCAGAGAGCAGTCCATGATGGCAGTATAATTCCATCTGACCCATAGGATTCTCTCTGAAGCAGAAGCAGAGGCATAGCCATCTTATCTGTTCATTCAGTTCCACCACAAATGAGCCCTACTTGCCAACGGATGGGGATTTTGACATTACTAGGCACTCTTCTCCACCTTTTAGAAATCTCCAGCCCTTCTTTCTTCATAAATACAACAAGTAAGTGTGTCTTTCTCTTTTCCCTGGAACCTCTGGTTTATTGGCTCCTCTCAAGTCAGGTCTTGTATAAAATAAGAAGAAAGTTTGACAATTCTGATACATAAATGTGAGGGGAAACCCAGGGTCATCTAACATTTTTAAAATTGGATGATTGCCTAATGTAGACTTCTTATTTTACAGATAAGGGAAAAGGCTGTGGTAGGTAAAATATCATATAGATTGAAACATGTAAAATTCTGTTTGCTTACTGCTTCTTGTTCCCTCAATGCTGGACCTATCTTTTATAGTATATGCATGTATTAGGATAAATGAGTATGCAATTGAGATTCTTTTAATAGCTGCTTGGCCATCAGTAATTTGTGCTTTTTAATAAAGAGATGGCTATTTGGCTGAGGAGAAGGTCTAGGAAAAGGGGATTTGGAATAAATAAGGGTTTATAGATGTTGTAGTGACACATGGTAGATACCATCATATAAGGTGGCCTTGTCTCCTATCATTTTTTACTACCTACCACCCAGGTAGTTGAGCAGCAGATTAGGGGCTATAGATGTGTTTGTGCCCTAAAAATACGAGATGATAGTAAGAACTTTTCAGAAACTCCAGATCTTCTTTGTAGTCACATTTTAAAATCCCACACAGAGAGCAGTTAATCCCAGGTTTTATTCAACAATCCAACCCTTTCCAGCTGAATTGAAATATAATCTAGTCACATATTAAATATCTATATATAACAAAACCAAATTCCTTATTCATTCAAAAAATAATAAAGGAACACCTGCTACATATCAGAAATTTTTAGAAACTTTGTATGTTATATTCTCTATGTCAAGGTCTTTAGTAATTTTATAACTAATCCATGTTGCTGTTGTTAAATTACTGTTATTGCATCATGTTTCAATTAGTTTTTGAAGCTTCATTCCATTTTGTTCAATACAATTGTATTGAAATGGCAAAAAAATAAAAGTAAATAAAATGTTGCTGTGAGCTTGGAGGAATACTCGTCAAAAACAGAGTTAAGATCACGAAAGTTGTGAAACCAAGGAAGGAATTCTCTGCTTCTTTCATCCCTAACAGTCAAATCTTAAGGCACAGAGAGAGAAAATCTGAGTATACTGAATGTTTGTGTGTATGTATGAATCGGCTTGTTTTTTAAGAGCTTCAGATCATCTGAAGTAGAAATGAGGCAGACAGAAATAAAGTTAATGTCCACACATACACACCCCTTATCTCAGGTTCCTCTGGACTCCCTATTGCCTCCTTCTTAATCGATTGACCATCATTAGATTAAATGGTTACTATCTAAAAGAAGGTGTGAATGTGCCTGCTTCCTCAGATATCAGTTTTGAATAGTGTGGTGACCTAGAGAAGACAGAAGGATCTAGGATGTATGAATAAATTATGAGTTTCCAAATGGCAGGTGCAAACTATGAAACAAAAACAAGAATTTAATGAAGCCAGTCTGGAAACAGGTAAATTCCAGTAAGTCTTTTAGGACCTCTCTAACTAAAATAACCTTAAAATAGAGAAAAGACAAATTTAATGAATGATATTATATATTTGAAATGTGCAGGTTGGACAGCATTTCAACTTGGAATGAAACAATAAGAAGTTACATTCATGGATAACCAAGAAGATAAGGCTGTTGTTGCCTCAGCCAATGGAGAAAACCCTCTGATTAATGGGGTCAAAGAAAATGGTAAGAGAATTTAATTATAGTACATAATATCTCTCCCAGTAGTCCTTTGTTATTACTATAAATTTCAGTATCCACTAGGATGCCTGTGAGATTGATGCTAATCTTAAATTTTGTTCCACCAAATCTCTAACTGGGCTAGAAGGATCTCTAAGAGGTATATAATTCCACTCAGAGATTTACTCTCCCAAATCATCTCTGTCAGATGAATACTTAAGTTCCTCAGAATTCCTAGTGAATTAGAAATATGCTCTGATGTGAAGCTTGGAATGTCTAGATTCAGTAGGAGCTCCAAAACAAAGATCTGAAGGATATGATTGAGTCTCATAGCCCCAAACTATGAATATCCCATCTGAGCATTTTCCCACTCTGAAATCCTTGACTTTCCAACTGATCAAGCAGTAAATTCTTTCTTCATTTCTGAGGAGAGCTCTGCCTGTCTCTGAAGGAAAAGGTGAACCTACAGAAATATTATTTTTCACATGCATGAATGTTCAATATAAAATCAGAGTCACTCTTTAATTTTGCAGTTTCCAGTTCTAAAGCTAGAGAAACTGAAACTTAGCTTATACAAGATTAAGTACCAGAAACTGATCAATGGAAAGAGCGTTAATGAGTCTGGTCTAAGACCTTTAACTTTATTCCTGTTATTTCTTTCTGTTTTCTCTAGACTCAGAGGACCAGGATGTGGCAATGAAGTCACTTGCAGCTCTAGAAGCTGCTGTACCAGTCCAGCCTATGCCAGTGGTTCAGAAAGAGACCCTGATATATCCCAGGGGTCTCCTGCCTCTTCCCTCTAAGAAACCCTGTATGCAGAGCCCTCCATCTCCTCTGGACCTGATTGAAGCACCTGAGCATACTGCTAATAGTACTTCTGTGAATGCCATCTCCCTTACATCTGGTGTTGCAAAAGGCCTGAACACATGGTCACTGCCCAGTGAGTGTGAGAAAGCTCCATTTGCCATAATGGAGCCTACAAGCATGTCAGATCTGAATGGAGACTGCCTCATGCAGCCCATCCGGACTTGCTTGGGCTGTTTCATGGAATCCAAGGATGCAGTGGATCCTGAGCCAGGGATCAGTCTGAAAGTTGGTGATCTAAACAGGGATTATGAAACCTGTGCAGTCTCTGATATAGGCATTCAGTGTATTAATGCTGGAGAAAACATGAAATATGGAGAGCAGCTGCTCTCAGACCAGCTCCTAGGCTTCCCCCTACACAAATCAAGGGCAGGAGATAGACGAGAAGCTGAGAAACCTGACATTGACTTGGAAGATCCAGCTCAGAAAAATTATTATGAGGCATTACTGTTAGATAAGTGCAATACAGAAGAGGCTTTGCTGGCAAATTCCAATCAGGATTGGGGTTACTTTGAGACTTTCATTAGTGAGAGTAAGATTGAACTGCTTGACCTCTGTTCTAAGAATGAGCTGTCTGTCAACCTATTCTCTGAAGAAGATGTGGATAACTACATGTTTGATGATGATGAGTCAACACTGGGCAGTGATGTCTGCTCCCTGAAAATTAGATATGAGTCCTTCCAGGACAATGTTCGAGACAAGACCACCCTTCTGATGCAAGAGGATGCCCAATTCAACTTTTTTCCCAGTGTCTTTACTACCTGCCCCAAGAGGGAGCCTAAGAGTGGGACCCTGAAGCAGAGCAGTGATCTTTCCCAATTCAAGGTCCCTGATGTGAGCATCATCTGGGGGGAAGAAGATAAAAATGTGGACAAGAAGAAAGGCAAAGAAGAAGGACAGGAAGACAAAGGTGTAGAAGTGAAAGATGGAAAGGATAATGGAGAAAAATCTGCCTTAAATAAGCCATGCAGTGGGACTGAGGTAGGCCAATTTAAGAATCCAAAGCAGGGCCATCTCACCAATTCCTTGGAAGCATTAGGGAATTTCAGTAATGACAGTTCTTTCATTGAGGTCTCTTATGATGCCATGGGGGAGATCAAAGACTGTAGCCGATATATGGCTCGAGGCACTAATTCTGGCAACTCCTCCTTCCAGCAGAACTATGGGCTACGAGCCAAGAGAAAAGTCAGGTACAGTGAAGATTATCTATATGATGTCGACTCACTAGAGGGTGAAAAAGTAAATGAGAGGAAAGAATGGCTGCCAGGTGGTTCCAAAGAGGAAGATGATGATGAATGGTGTCCCAAAAAGAGAAGAAAAGTAACCCGTAAGGAGCCCCCTGTTATCATCAAATACATCATCATCAATCGCTTTAAAGGTGAGAAGAGCATGCTGGTGAAGTTGGGTAAGGTGAATGCAAGTGAGACAACAGTGAATTTGAGTGAGAATCAGCTCAACAAATATGCCAGGCTATCCCCCTTGAAGGGCTTCTGGCAGAAAAGGAAGAAGCAGAGAAACGGCAACACAGACTCCAACAAGACACCATTATGCCAAAAGCAAAGCTTTGAATCAGGTAGCTTTGAAGTGTCATTTTCACCACCTGCTCGCAAACGAAAATCTAAGCTTGGCAACAGGCACAGGATTCAAAGAATCCCATCCATGGAAACTTCAGCAAGTGGTAAGCAGGTATCATTTTGCAGTAATCAGTGGCAAACTACTAGTAGTAAAGAAGATGGAGGCCTGAAAAGTACCCTAAAGTCAGTACCTCTAGCTGACCCCAGCTGTGCAAGTGAATCACATTTAAATGACATCATAGGCCCCGACTCTTTGAAAATCAAAGTCCAAGATGCAGAATTTAAGGGGACAGAGAGGAAAGTGCTCAACAAAATCAAATTTAAAAGTGAATCCAGGTTAAAATCCAAGAAAATCAAAGCTGGGCAAGAAAGCAAACCAGTTGTTCAACTGGGCCCTCTTTTGGAAGACCAATCCTCCAAGGTTAATTTGAAGAATGAAGCTATTCCTGGGACGTCAAACAGTTCTCATCGATCTGAATTTCATGAGGCAAAAGTTGCTAAGAATTGTACTTTCCTACCAACTACCTGCTCTTCTGAAATGCCTCTCTCATCTTCTAATGTTGCCACTAACATACCTGTTATCCCTGGAGGGTATCTGCAGACATTGTTGGATGTTTCTGACTTGTCAAATAACACTGGTATCTCGTACTTCACTCATCATTCTCCAGAGCAAAATGAAAGCAGCCTCACCCAAACAGAAAAATCATTTGTACCTCTCCAACCTGCCCAAGACTGTGTGCTTTCCTCACCCTCTGAGTCTGAGCTGCAGCAGTCATCCCAAAACTTCAAAATGGAATCAAGCAACTATGGGAATGTGTGGCCTGACAAGCATACTTCTGGCCCCCAGGAATTCATCACTGAAGTCTCAAGAGAAACAGCTCCAACCCAATCCAGTGAATTTGGAGTCTCCCAAGTAGTCTCCATGGAAAATAATCTCACAGCTACAACATACAATCGAATCTGCCTCAATAGTGGTGGCAGTAGTTGCAACAAGGTCCTATATGCCTCTGTGCAAGACACTGAGCTCCCATCTGAAGACTCTTACCAACTATATCACTTGAATAATGGAGAGATCTGCTTTCCTTTCCAGCAGGACCCAGTCAATACAGATTTTAGCTTTGATTTGATGGCCCCACTTTCTGTCAACTCAAGCAGTTATTGCTCCTTAAGCCTGAAGTCCTGTGAAAAAGATGTTGATGATGACATCACTGATGAATTCCTGGCCCATTGCAGCCCCAAACTGGTGATCCAGCAGAACACTGATGAAATAGCACCACTAAAGGAGTCCACTGACCTCCTAGATATCTCCAACTTTACTCCTGACAAATTCCGTCACTCTTCCCTCTCAGAGATGTCCCCACCTGATACCCCCAGTCTGTCCCCTCAAATTACCATATGTGAGAGTATCAAGACACTGGGAACACTGAAGGGGTTCCAAGAAGGTGCCCGAGGATCACTGGGCAGTTTGGAGAAAATCAAGTGGAATTGCAGTACCCTTTCCCAGCAGGTCCAAGTGGATGATGGATTTACTTTAAATAACCATCAGTTTCAGTTCCATATGTTCAATGATGAGGATTCTGTCAGCCCACTCCAAAAACCCCCTTGCCTATCAACATTTAATGATCCAGCTGGTCAAATGAGTACCAACAACAAAGTGTCAAAATCAAGAAAGAAAAATTCACCCAGCAAGACTGGAGCTATGAATCAAAGCCCTTCTCAGAAAAACACCAGGAAAAAAGCCCCCAAAACCAACAACAAAGGGATTGAAAAGCCATTGGGAAAAACCTCCCGTCAGGTCCCTAAATCAACAAAAAAAGGTAAATACATGGCTTCAGTCAGTGGAGAGAAAATGCAAATTGGCATTGGCCGTGGGGGAGGACAAATCAACAGCATATCCTCCACAGAGAAGACATTGGCTGAATATATCCAACATGGTGGCTCTGCAGCCTCTATGAAGATGCCAAGTCAGAAGGGACTTACAGGAGATTGGGCTTTGGGAAAGGAGAGTAGCTCAGGCTGGAGTGACAAGAGCATGGGCACCAATACCAACAGTCTCCTGGATGATGACCAACGGGAATTTCAGGAGCCTTCCTACATCTTGTCCAACATTGCTTCTGGTATGGCAGATGTGCAGAGATTCATGATGGCCTCCATAGAGCCCCTTTGGGAACCCATGGAGCACCATGGGGACCCCAACATATTCCACTCCCCTGAGTCCAATAGCCTAAAATTAAAAACCCTCAAAATATTGGCTGGGACACCACAGGAATCTAAGAAAAATGTCAACAGTGGGTCCTTAGGAGCCACTAAAAATCACAGGTCCATCAAGGGTGTGAGCAAAAGCAATGTGAAAGCAGCAATAGGTGATCCTGGTCATGTAAACATGCCTGGCTATAACGAGGACTCTCGCTCTGCCTTCTTTGATAAAAAGTATAATAATCTGAGCACTTTAAGCAATAATGGACCTACACACAAAAAATTGTATCGTCACAAATCCAGCTCGAAGGCCCTGAGAGATGAGAAGTTTAAGGGAAAGCGCATGGAGCGAGAACAGGTCCACAAGGATGAGGCTGGGACAGCTTCTTTTGAAAAACTGAGGTAATACTGCACCAATATGGCTGAGATGATGCACCCTTAGCTTTCCTACAACCTGCTAAACCCGCTGTCCTTCATTTTGTCCCTCTTAAAAGCAAAAGTTTGCATGAGAGAAACTGTCCCATTTCCTTCTTTTTCAAATTAAAAAAGAAAAGAAAGAAGTGCGTGAAAATCCCTGCACCTTTAAGCCACCCAAAAGATTGAGCAATTTTGTTGGGGCTTGGCTAGGGATAAACTCTAACAAAGGCTACTTTTTCTGCTATTCAGCACTAATTTTTACTTATGAGAATATAGAACTAAAATATGCTCCTGAATGATTTTGGGAAGGGAAGGGCTTTGCAGTAAGAAAATTTTGAGCAACAGAATTTAAAAGTTGTATAGACAAAAATCCAAGAACATTTAAGCAAAAAGAGCATAATTTGGAAAACAAAATGTCATCATGTGGCAATTAGAAGTGCTTTCTAGTGCCCCCTGCTATTTGTATCTTTTTCTGTATCATATAGCATCTAGTATGATGTAAACAAATTTAGATTGTATGATCCCTTTATGGGACATACACTAAAGCTAACTAAGATGGCATAAATTGTTTGGTTTTTCTGCAGGGATTCTGACTACAATCTCCTAAAAGCAGAAACAGCATTTTTGGTTTTACCTGTGTTTGAAGAAGACAGCCCCATTTTCCAGAAAGACATTTGATGTTTGTGTTTTATTTCTTTCAAAATATGCCTTGTGGTATGTATGTTGACATGTAAGTGCTTAAAGAAAAAAATTTTTAAGTGTGGGAATAAGTCTTTGAAAGCAAACTTAAATCTGATATTCTATGTAAAAGACTTAAAAAGTCATACAGTTGCACAAGTAGTTTATGCACTATTTGCCCATGGAAAAAAGGAAAACATTGTGCCAAACTACAAACAAGTGACTGTATTGTATATATTTTTACCTCTATATCAACATTTGGTTGTGAGTACCTGGGAGCTTTTCCCTGTTGATTTACTAGAAACATTCCAGTGATTCTTGCTATTAATGACCCCCACTTATGTGGATAGCACCTGTAGATCACAGTGGAAAAATACGTTGTGTTACACAACTTACCAGAAGTTAAAGGGTACTGTTTGAAGTGTGCCAAGTTTCCTTACTTCATCTCACAAATTCGCCCCACTATTTAAAGCTCATTAATGAATTAAAAAAAAATTATATATATATGCCTACATACTTTTAAAATTTTTTAACTCTGCTGTCCTGTGTGGAAACATGAACAGTTAAACAAGGTAAGATAAAAGTTTGTTTGTTTGTTCCATTGTCTAAGTGTTAAAATGTTAGAAAAATCTGGAAGTCGCAACAGCTAAGTTCATCAGGGACCCAAGTATATGCATTTACAGAACCTTTTACAGGAAAACAAAACAGCTGCTTTAAAGTTTCTTTTCTAAAAGCAAAATCTGTAGCTGAAAATTATTTAAAGTGCAAAGTTATATTGCTGATACTTTATATCTCAGTTTTATATATTTTATAATAGTCTGGGATAAATTATAAAATAGCTATAAAATCAACACTATTGATAAACAAAGATCATAGATTGCATTTATTTAAGTAGTTCCCTAAGTGTTTTATTCCAGTTTTGTCAAAAGTGCATTCATATCATGGCTTTAGTGTTCTTTAAGTGTTTAATCTTGCAATGCCAATGTCATTTAAAGAAAATATTAAGGCATCTCAGTTCGACTCCTATGAATTATGTACGTATATATATCAGATAAACTGAATAATCTGTGGTATGAACTAATCAAGGCCATCTATACTTAGTCTGAGGATGACCAGTATTTGATGCCACACACTGAACTTAAATGTCAGTTTTTTATATAAAGTTTTGAAATCACATTTATTTATTCAGCCTTCTCCCACTTTTTAAAAAAATTCACAGCTCTAACATCCCTCACTACTAGCTTGTTCTTCCCCTTTATTCACCACTTCACTAGTGACATTTGATCTATTTCCCTTGCACAGTTGAAGGCCTGTGTGTCCAATGACTGATGCATTATGGCACAGATGAGATAACATGTGAAAGCACTTTGTAGATCATAAAGTGCTATACAGATATAAGGGATTAATATTATTAATGTTGTTGGTTGTTGTTGTTGTTACTCTTGCTATTCTTACTAATATTGTTACTAAGTTATTAACTTGTGAATATATAGGCTGTGGGTGGGAGGGTGGAGAATAAGTGGGTGGGGGAAAAGGGGATTTAAAAAAAGGGAAGACGTTTCAAAAGAAAAATTTTAAGCAAAATATGAACCTACCTAGTCATTGCCACCTAAATATATTCACAAACAGAGAAGCAACATTTGAAAGTAGTCAGAGAGAAATGGAAGGAAACCTGACACATATATAAGTATATGCACTCCCCAGTCCATGATTCCTTTCACCAGCCTGCTCTAATACTTACAGCTAGGTAGTAAAACAACAAGCCTGTGTTCCTGATGGTGTGATGTGTGTGTCTGTGGGGATGAGTGGGTGAGGAGCATTTTGTGATGCTGCTTCAGGCCTGTTCCTAGGCTTTGACACTTAGTGTGTGGTTAGTCCTGGAAAATTACTTAGTGGAAAGGCACCAGATGAAACATGTCTCCTACTCTGCAGCTGCCATCCAAAGGGGAAAATAATCAAACTAGAACACTTTCTTCTGTTTCTCCACTCTGGTAGCTAGCTGTTAATACATAATGCTATGGCTGGTTCCAAGGAACTGGTCTTTGTTTCTTTTTCATTTTCATTTTTGTTTGTTCTGTTTGGCAGCTAAATTTTGGTTTGGAACCACTAACAACGCTGCCTGTACTGTGATCCCCAAGACTCCAGACCTCAAGTCACCTGCTGGGTTACAGGAATGGAGTTGTCTCTATGTAATCAAAAGATAGCAATTAAAAGAAATAAAGAAAATGTTCCATGAGTACAATGTGTTTCATAAAAACAAATATACAAGCAGTTCTCCCATTCTTCTCCATATCAGTTCTGCTTTGGAGAATGGGGTGGGAATGGGATAGAGTGATAGTCTAAAACTGTTGAAAACAGTTCCCTTGTCAGAACTTGCTATCATGAGTACTTTGGAATGGATACTCTTTCAGTTGCTCCTATGGAGCCCAGTAGGGGCCAGTCCTAGGGCATGGTTCATCCCTTTTGCCAAACAGAATTGCCATTTTTAAGCACCTTTTTTATTGGCCTACAGTGAGTTATAGGCTTTTAACATAAATTAGTAAGTCCTAACCAATCATTTTGTAGTAAAACACAACAAGAAACTGACTTTGAGAAATGAGCAATAGGACAAGGCAGAAGATCCTTATTCTCTTAATTACTTGCATTTAATATACCTCTCAGTATATTACATTCTCAGTTCTTCAGTCTTTAGGGCTTTATTAGTCTTGTCTCTGCTCTCACAATTATTTTTCTTCCTGTTGCAACATAGTACACCTGACTTCTTGGAGATCCTTTATTCAACCAGCTACCTTAGTGGAATGAAGGACAATGATATAAAAATAGTGTTTTGCCCTATCACTGATATCTCAAGGCAGATATTAGAATTATCCTTGCTCTCAAATTCCTGATTGCCACTCCCTCCTAAGCTCTCTTCGCTGAGAAACTGCTTCCCACTAATACCATCCCAACAGAATCCCATTTATTCTTTACTTTCATGGAAATGGTATTCTCCCTTATTCTTCATACTTCATCTCAGGCTTCTCTTCTTGGAGATTTTCTTCTTTTGTAATATTATATTGCACTTCCCCAAAGTGTCAGAATATAAGAACCTTGGCCAGGCTACTTTCTTTTGGAATTTCAGAGGAGAACCTTCTCACTCTTAATTACCTTTAATTGCCTTGGCCACTTTCAAATCTAATTTTAAAAGCACATACATGCACATACAGAATTATATCACATTACTGAGTAAAGTTGAAACCTCCTTTTCCTTGAAGATCTGTAAGAATAGATCTGATCCCCTTTCTGCCCTGGTTAGTTGCTGGACTATATGAGCTCTGGTGCTGAAACAGGGGCCTTGATCAAGGTTCTTTGAGACTTTGGAAATTGTTTGGGTTGGGAAAACTGACTTGAATGAGTGGCCTCTCCAGTGTCTCATATACTAGCTTACTCACATATGCTGCTTTTTCCCAGATTTCTCTTATGAGTTCATGTTATTCTGTGTAATTATGTGTTAAGGCCTTACTTCTCCTAAATGCTTTAGAAACTCCTACACTACCATGACCATCACTTCCACTTCTTTATTCATTTCCTTGAAGTCCTTGGTACTAGGTGGGCTTTTGTGACAACTTTCACCTTCTCTGACCTTTTTCCTTGCTGGGAAGCATCTGTAGGTGTGCAAGGGGAGGGAAGTAAGGGAGGCAGGTATATGTGTATGGAAGAGAAAGAAGCATACAGGATGCTTCAGAAGCTGTAAACAACTCTGGCCAGCAATCCTATGTCCTGTTATATAAGGTTCTGCAGTTCTAACCAGTGAATTTTGGTTTTAGTGGGTTCTATTTAGCATTTACTGCCTCAAGGAGAAAAACCATATCCAAGGACCTCATAACCAAGCTTACTCTTACCAACCTGAACCAGTCTAATGCAGATCCACAACATTTTCATTACAGATGCTCTCGGGACAGTTCCAAGAATTGATGAGAGCTAAGTTTCTGCTCTGAAGATGAGAAAGTAGCACTAGCTAGTCCTAACCAATGCTAGAACTAGAAATGTTTGTTTTCTCCTGTATTATAAAGAAGTTATCTAATTTAAGGAGTTTTTGTTTTCATTTTGTGATTTTTTTTAAATGATTGTTCATCACTACAGGAATATGTCCTTTTTATGAAATAAAACTAATATGAGATTTGTTTTCTAATCATAAAGTTCACTAAACCAATGATTATGTTTAGAAAGTTTAGTACCAAAATCAAGCATTGTAGTAACAAATTAGGGATCTTATCAATACAATGTAGGCCAGGGATTTTGTAAAGGTTTCTCAAGTACCTGAATAAGGGAGAAAAATTTTAGTTAAACTGCTTAACTTGGGAAACACTGTCATCATCTTGAGGGTCCTCAGCCACCATGGATTATTCTGATGGCAGTACTCAGGCTACCCTTTAAGGCACAGTTTTTACTCAGAGCATTAAACAGTAGCTGCAGTCATGAAGCAGAGCTCCCATTGTAGCTACACAATACTTGAGATGTACTCTTGGTTTCAGAATCATAACTAAGAGGTAAAACACTGGAGAAGGACAATGTAAGAGAGGCTTAATACATAGATTAAGATGTGGACTAGGCCTTTAAAATCAGTATCTGAGTAAATAGATACTGAAGAAATACTCATCAGCATGAGATGGAAATGATATCTGTTCATCTGAGAGGGTTAGTGGTTTCTGAGACTTAGACAACCCCTTCCAAAAGAAGAAAGGAGATGTTTAAATCATTCTGCCTCTTTGAGGGATGCCTGGTTTTACAGCACAAAAGGAAAGGCTTAGAATGAAACTAGAAAAAGGCTTTTGTTTTTGACTCCCAGTAAGGAAGATACAAAGATTAAGATGCTCTGCTGGGATACCTGAAGCACTGACTAGAGTTTGCTGCCTACAGAGTTTTGAATGTACTAGTCCTTAATTTAACTTCCATAAAACTGAATGCACCTCTTTAGTAAGTTACTGATTTATGGTGCTAAAGAAAATTATTCTCATTTTTTTCCTCTACTCCCAAGCCCCTAAAACATTTAAGAAATTTTAAAATAAAAATGTTAGAGGCCCTTTTTTTTCATTAATGTATCCTAAGTTTCTGTTTGACATATGACACTGCAACTTTAAAATGTTAGGAAATTATTTGACTTTTTCTTTAAGAGTTAAGCTTTATAAATAATCTGTAGAGTCCATTAAAGTATTAAGCTTAGGGATCACTCTTAAGACACCTACAAAATCTTGTATATTTTTAAGTGTGCCAATTTGTAACATATTTTGTAAGTGTATATTTTTCTTAGAAAAGTGCTGTGAAGTGTCTGTATGTGAGTTTTCCTTTTTTTGCACCACTAGGTGCTAATAAAAGGATATTTACTTCAAAGTTTCTGGTTTTAGAAACCACAATACAAAGAAAAAATACACTTTTGTTGGAATTTTGTAACACAAAACATGTTGTGAAAGAGTGTAGTGATATTGTGCAAAAGAAAATGAACATTTGTGAGCTTCTTGCTGTTTTATAGATTTTCTTGTAAATTATTCTTGTAACACCTCTGGTTTTGTTGTTCTTGTTGCAAAGGTTTTAAATATTTGTGACTGAGTGTATGGTGAAATTGTCATAATGTTACCTAGTTGAGTTTTGTTATTGTTTATGGAATAAATAAAAGGAAAAGTTTAAAATACTGCTTTAGAATCATATGTAAGAGAAATCAAACCATTTCTAATTAAATTCTATGACCAAAACAAGAAGTTCCTCATTGTATAGAGCAGAATTTTTCAAATTGTCTGTAGTAAGGGGCCAATTTTTTTCTCCAGTTCATCACAGATTGATACTACTATAAAACACAATAAGAAACAATTTCTTAAGAAGTGAAGTGGATAAAAGATTTGCAAAATAAAGGCCCTAAAGTATTTGATTAAGCATGTAAAATTACATTTCAAAACAAGCCTAACATAGGGAAAAAGAAAAGAATTACAAAAGCTTGATACCCTGTTTAAGACAAGTCCACTGATCAATGTCCAACTGCCATAGAAGGTTCTTACCTTGCTTTGAGTAACACTTTGTGTAGGATGAGCAGCATTACAACTGCCTGGGAACTTGTTAGAAATGCTGATTCCCAGGTCTTACACCAATCCTACTGAATCAGGATTTGAATTTTAATAAAATTCGTAGGTGATTTCTATGCATGTTAAAGTTTGAGAAACACTGGGCTAGAGTTTTTGCAGGAGATTCTTTTCCCTCCCAAACTGGAGAATCATTTCTAGTGTGTCCAGTCTTCAAAGGCCATAGAATAAACGGTGTCCTTGTTTTGAGGTCCAGATGAATTCTGCAGAGATGCGTTGCCTTCAAAGTGTCAAAGCTGTCTATTAAAAGAAATAATTGCTGATTTGCCTGGTACCCAAAAAAATGTCAGGTTTTCCATATTTCCCTACAATTCCTACATCATTTTATTTACCACTTACCTTTGGACCTTGTTTCCTTTAATGAGGACTTTGCCAAGTTCTATTCTCACTGTGCTCAGTATTTTAATATGGGCTATGTCTAGAAAGACTGGACTTTGCTCCCAAGTCCCCAGACCATCTAAGCCACCCATCAGAGCCTATAGACATGCCCCACCACAGGAAGGTCACTGTGGCACATACAAGCCAATAGCCACTTCCTTGGTTTTCAATATCATTACTCAAAGAAATTGAAAACTGTGTATAAGAGAGAAGTGCTCTCTTCTCACTGGATGATCAGTGGTGCTCTCTTCTCACCTTTTCTTCCACCACTTCAACTACCACCTAGATTTCTACAAATCCCTCCTGATTTCCTAGCCTATATTTCCAGTTATAGGCTGGCCATCACTACTTGGATATCCTGCAAGTTCCTCAGACTTGTATATTCAAGATCATTTCATAATCCCTTTACCTTCCAAGTGTGCTCTAGCCCAGTGAATGATGCTGCCACTCCTCCAATTAGTGACCCAAGAGAGAGAGCAAGGTTCACCAGTGACTCCTTTCTCTCATTTTCACATCCAGTTGGCCGCTATCAATTCTCTGTCTGGCCTTTCTACCCCATTGGCAATGCCTTAATTCAAATGTTCATGGTATCTAACCTGGATTATTGTAACATTGTCCTAATATCAAGTGGGAGTCTATAGAGTACCTAATTTTTTATTTTGCTATGTAAAGATATTTTTTAAATAAACTACTCAATATCAATTCACAGATCATTTTATCACCCAAACACAATCAGACCATCCGTTATTAAAAATGCACCACATTGTCTTTTTCTCTTCACTATGGACCATGAGAGACTGAAACCAACCTCCCAACTCATTACTAAAAGTAAAAAGAGATTTTGAGTTTCAGGGCTAAAGGAGTGGAAGAAGATAAAGAACTAGGAGCCGGGCAGTGAAGTCCCCCAGGACTGGAGCCCTCTAATGTTCTGAAGCTTTATTTATTCCAACCTCTATGAGTTCCTTACGTGATTGAAATTACAAATGTATATTCTTCACTCTGTGCAGGATTCAGAGGTGTATTCTGGTGAATGTGGCTCTAGAGAAAGATTCTTCTTAAACTAAAATAATGTCAGGGTTGGAGAGGTTGAGCGGTCCCATTCTTTCCCAATGGTTTAACTTCCCTTTTTTTTTTCTCCCTTGGCCAAAGTTGAGATAGTATCAGAGCTTAGGGAGAAGATGGCAGGTTCTTTGAATAAGGACATTTGATCTGTCTGGAAATTGACCTTCTGATGAACTTAATTTGGGGGAGGAGTGATTATGACACAGTTTAAACACAGTATTCTATTTAAAGTAATTGGAATTACAGTTATTAAGCTTTTTAGTCCACATACCACTTTGGGAATCTAATGAAATCAATGGGCCTTTGCCCCAGGAAAATGAACATACTTGTAATTTTTCATAAAATTTCGGAGGACTCACTGATCAGTAACTTCTGTATTAGGGGCATAAATTCCCTGAAACATCCCCACATCATAATGGAGTTTCTTAGTCTATCTCTTCCTTTCCACTGACCCAAGATAATGACAACTATCATTTATTTATTGTCTATTTTGTGTCAGGCACTCTACATGAATTATCATTTCTCACAACAGCACTGCAAGGGACGCATCTTACCTATTTTACATTTAAGAAAATTGGGACACAAAGAGGTGAAATAAACTTCCTCAAGATCACACAACTAATAGTCTTCAAAGACCTTCATCAGAGCTGACAAATTCCTCTATGCTTATCCCATCACAAGCCCATATCCCTAACTCAAGACATTTATTTCCAGCATAAGCCATGTTGCATACCACTTGCAAAATAAAATAAATATTAATACTGACATTAAAAATAATTCATTAAATATTTGATTCTGCATCAGGTATTGTGCTAGATGCTAAGAAAATGAAAAATTTAAATATAAAGCACATGCCTTGTTCTCTAGGAGCCCACAGATAAAACAGAGAGGTAAAATTTAATAATTTAAATAGAAAAACACCCACTGATCAGTTTAAGTTGAATAATCACATATAAAGTAACTAATAATTTGCTGTCCTTAAACACCCAAGAAGAAAAAGCCTCCATCCATTGTTATGGAGGAACCAATGTCACAAAATGACACTCCCAGTAACCAATATCTCACCTTCTTTGTTTCCCCTATTTTAGAATCCAAGTTGAGAGCCTAGATCCACCACTTAACTAGCTGTGTGATTTGGGACAAATTAAATTATTCTGTGTCCTAATCCCTGCTCCAAAATACCTAGTATAATATAGATTTACCATGGATTAAAGATGACACTTGTGAAATCTTGGCACCAAGTGGGCATTCAGGTAATACCTAACACTTGCTATTCTTTAACAGATGTGCACAAGTGTTTTCCTAATAGTTCTAATTTAGATTCCTTAGAAATCACTCCAGCTCCCTATACCCAAGTATTTGCTTTTTATTAGGCTATGAACTAAGAAAATTAGTAAACTCCTGGCTCAAAGAGCCTTTGATCTTTATTTATTTGATCTTTATTTAGAAGAAGATGCCATTCTAAAGATAAAATTGAAAGTCATTATATTAAACATATAATATGCTTAATAATTGCATATAATAATATACATAACAGTTATATTATTAGAGTTAATTTATTACCAGTGGCAGAGTGAGGTAGTTAAAAGTTATAAATTATAAATTAAGACAGCTGGGTTCTGTTCCTGGCTGTGAGAACTTGGACAAGTCACTTCCCTTGTGAGCCTCAATTTCCCCATCTCCAAAATAAGGATGTTGGGCTAAATGGCTTAGCATTTAAGAGTATGCAGTGTAAAGTAGACTGCCTGAGATTGAATCCAAGCTTCCCTCTTGCTAACAGTGAAGACACTACCTCATTTTTACCATCACCAAAATGGGAATAATTATGGCACCTATGTTACAGGATTACAGGGAGAATTAAATGAGATAATAAAGCATTTAAAGTAGTGGCTGGTATGCATATAAAATGCTCTATTAGCTATTATATTGGAGGGCCCTTCCTTTTAATTTAAAACCCATGATTCAATGTATAATCTGCCCTGCTGTGGCAAAATTACTGATGCAGCTATGAGCATTTGTTCATTAATCAATTAATTCAACAAATTATTATTGATCACCTACTATGTGCCAGTAACTGGACTATGTACTAAGGATGCCATGGTGAGCAAAATGGGATTTTGACTGTCTTATGAAACATACATTAGTCAAAAATCGCTTTGATTATGAACATATAATTTAAAACTGAAATAAGAACTCTGAAGTAAGGGAACATACTTTTATGAGAACCACTGGCAAAGAAACTTGATCTGATACTGGGGCTAGCAACCTAAAGATAAGTAGCATTTGCCTAGGTAAACAGGAAGATGGAGGTGAGAGTGGGTGACTCCCAAAAACACCACATGCAAATATTGTTTGGCAGGAGAAAGAATGTAGTACCAATGAACTAGAAGAGAGCCAGTGTGGCTAGAAAGGAGTAGAGAGATGAGGTCAGAGAGCAATGCTTTATGTGTTCCAGTTTGGTCACATTTTACAGAAATTTTAATTATACAAACTTAAGATCATACAATACAAAATGTTGAGTTTGACTATGTGCAACTTTAAAAATAGTTCAAATGAAAAAAATCATCAGGAAGAACATAACTAGTTTCAAAATGGGCAGGTATGTGAAGGATAAGGTGTGTCATTCTACTACCACATTTCTGTGTGATTTCAGCCAATGAGTAGAAATACTTCCCATCTTTTGTAATAATTATACCAATTATGAGTTATCTAAGCCCTTCACAAACACACTTACATAAAGTGCAGACAGTCCCCACTTATCTTTGGTTTTGAGTTAATCTCACTGGGCCTAATTTTCATTCTCTTGAAGTGGTCCCTACAAGTGCCTTCCAAACTCAGGCATTGTTTCTAAACTTAAAATGCATAAATATTCATATATAATAATTTATATCGGTACAACTTAATATAGTAAACCATTCTGAACCTTAAATTATTTAAAATATGCACCTGTTTCTATATATTTTCCCAGAAAGTTCTAGAAAGAAAGAAAACCATCATTCTGCATTTTATAACAGAGTTTTAACAATTCAGTCACTGAATGCCCTCAGGAAATTGAGTGTTGGGGATCGAAATTGCAATTGCCTCTGGTTCTTAGAAAATGAACACATTTTC